GTGCTGCCTCTCACAGAGGCAAAGTATCACCTCACCTTTTACCTCACCCGAAAATTGGGTAAAAAAAATAAAAAGAGCAGCTGTTCTGTTTAAAAGGTGAGTTTGTGGGAAGGTGAGGAAACAGAAAGCAGCCTTCAGCCTGGGTCTCAGACTTCTCCCCTGGCCACTCAGCTGTGGGCTCTTTTCCTATGCAGGAGTGAAGCTGAGACAGAAACGGCTAAGGTGTCCATTTTCAGATAGTGCAGTTAGCATTTATTTATCTAACTGCAAGAGAGAAAGGTAATTCAGGACACCTTGGTGTGGTAATAGCTCACAAATAATTATGGCTTCTTTGTCTTCTGACAGTGGCTGCTGTGTAGTAGAATCAAAAAATGGGGTATAAAGAGAGCAGCCACAAGTGCGTGGTGTATGGCAAAGGTGCGTGGAAGCTGCAAGCAATCCCAAGGAGTAGAGCCCAGGGACAACCCCCCCTCTTTAGGACCTTATTTCACATAAGAGAGCAGGCTGATCTGCTCAGGAGCAGCAGGGTTAGGTGGTTGCTGGTGTCTTGATGCAGCATCTCAGTGACATTTACTGAAATGAGCCACTAGGTGCTTTGTAGGCAGCAGCAGCTCCCCTGGGAGCTCAAGCATTTTGGAGAGAGCACCACAGGAATCAGATAAAATCCCTTCACAGTCTCCTGGCTCTCATGTAAAGTGAAGTGCCTGTGTAAAGGTGATGGCCAAGTGCTCAGAAAATGTTCCAAACACTTCTTGGCCCGAGTATTCAACAAATTTGTGAAGAACTCGAAGTAGGGGTGCCAGCATTAGATCTCATCAGACTTGGCCTCCTTCCTCCATGCCTGGTTCTCCATCCTGGACCTTGAAACAGGTCATGCCACCGTTCCCTGAAGAAGCACGGCAGAATCAGCATGTCCTCTGCCAGCACCTGGGAAGCAGCGTTCCTGCCAGCTAAACAGAGGAACTGCACACTCTGTGTGCATCAGGCTGGGTGTATTAATCACAGTGCTTCTAATATGTGGTAACCGTAAGGTGCCCTGTGTTCTGCAAATTTCTCCTTTAGTTTGCCTTCACAGCCATGGTTACCTGCTAGCTAGCTTGCTGGGCCAAGGTCTGGGGTGTCTGAAGAAGCTGTCTGGTGGCCAGGCCACTTCCAGAGTGGCCCTCTGATAAGGGCAGCAGAGCTGAGCACCTGCAGACCCTGCTTGGTGGACACTAAACGCACAGTGGCTCTCCGAGCAGAAAGGACAAGTTGCCCTGCTACAAAGCTGTGAGAAGGAAATCCAAACGGATATGGGGAAATACTCTCTTCACCTTGAGGGTGGTTAAGCACTGGGACAGACCCTAAGGGTTGTGACATTGCTATCTTTGGAGACTGTCAGATCACAACTGCGCAAGTTCCCGCGCAAAGTGATCTTAAGTTGAAGTTTGTCCTTCTCTAACAGTACGAATGGTCAGAAAAGTGTAGGTTCAGCACTCTAACTCTCCACGGTGCAAAGGCGGTGTTTGTGGACTATCAGCATAGTTCAACCCCCTAAAGAAACAATTTTGCATTTTCTTTTCAGAAAAGCTGTGGGCTGGATTGGAAAAATGCCTTCTGTGACAATAGCACAGACATGAAATTTGTTATTGCTGACACTGAGTAACAGACTATAGTAGACTAGACTGTTTCAGCTGGAAGGGACCTACAATGATAATTTAGTCCAACTGCTTGACCAATTCAGGGCTGACTGAAAGTTAAAGCATGTTGTTAAGAGCATTGCCCAAATGCCTCTTAAACACCAACAGGCTTGGGCCATCGACCACCTCCCTAGGAAGACAGTTCCAGTGTTTGACCACCCTCTTGGTAAAGAAATGCTTCCTAACGTCCAGTCTGAACCTCCCCTGACACAGCTTTGAACCTGCATCTTCTTCGGAAACACTAAAATATCAAGTCCTGTAAGGAAAGTAAAAACACTGATGCTTATAAAACAGGATTTGTTTTATTTTAAGGCTGTTGTTTCTTTTCTTACCTAGACTTATTCCATTGAAGAGCTGCTTCTGCATTGAACAAACCAGGAAGAAGTCCTAAAACCTGGAAAAATAACCACAAGGATCTGTTTCATTTAAGTCTGACCTGGCAACCTTCTAAAAGGCCATTTAATCCCATCCATCCAATTCAGTCCATTGTATAGGTAAAAGCTTATGTTATATTGTGAGCCATAATTTCTTTATTATAAGGGTGGAAGAGAGAAAACAGGACCTTTCCTTGGCAGTTCTCAGCTCTGAAAAATTGGGACATAGGAGCTTACTAAGGTATGTCTGTAGGTGCAAGTACTTCTGTATAATTATACTTTCTCTTGGGACTTGATGACTTTATTCTGACATTCTGGAGGTGGTTCTTATGGCAGCCAATACACTGTCTTTGGTAAGCTACAGTGTCTCTGGCAGAATCCTAAAACTGTGGCATAATTCAGGTTGTAAGGGACCTCAGGAAGCTTCAAGTCAAACCTCCCATACAAAGCAGAGCCAGTTACAACAGGTTGCTCAGTGTCTGCACAGTCAAGTTTTGAAAATCTCCAAGGCTGAAGATCCCACACCTTCTCTGGGCACTTGCTCCAGTGTTTGCCTACCCTCACGGTGAGAACATTTTTCCTTCTCTTTAATCAGACTCTCCCTTGTTGCAACTTTTGTCTGCTGTCTCTTGATCTATCCTTGTGCAGCTCTGCAGAGCTTGGCTCCACCTTTTCTGTACCTCAGCATTAGGGAGCTGCAGACACCAATAAGCTCTTCCCCTTGGACTTCTCCTTTTTAAGACTGAATGAGTCCAGCTTCCTCAGCCCTTCCTTGCACATCGTGTCCTCCAGCCCTCTGCCAGACTCACTCCAGTACATCAGTGTCTTTCTTGCACTGGAAACCCCAAACCTGCATGCAGTTCTCCAGGTGTGGTCTCACAAGTGCTGAACAGAGAGGACTAATAAACTCCCTTGACTTTCAGCTATGCTTTTGCAAATGCCCAGCACGCTGTTGGTTTTCTTTGCCTCAAGTACACACTGCTGATATACATGCAACTCCCACCCCTGGCCCTGGCTCCTTTTATTGTAAAGCTGTTCCCTACCCACATACCAAGTCTGAATTACTGCATGGGGTTAGTCTGCCTCAGGCGCAGGACTTTGCATTTGTCTTAGTTGAACTTCATGAAGCACCTGGCAGCTCATTTCTCCAGCATTTTGAGGTCTGCCTCGAAAGGCAGTCTGGCCCTCCCTGTAACCACTGCCCACCCCACCCCAGTTGACACACATTATCACACACCTCCCCAGACCCAGATTTGGTGTGGGCAACAAATTTGCTGAAAGTACAATCTGTTGTGTCCTCCAGGTTGTTAATGAAGGCATTAGATGGTACTGGCCCCAATACTGATTGCCTAGAGAATGCCACTACAAACTGACTGCCAGTTCAACTTTATCTGGACAGTTGGGCTCAAAGGATGGTCCATCAGCAGCATACTTTTCACCTGTTGTAGTTAGCGATCCAGTCCATGTCACCAATTTGACTATAGGCTGGTTTAAAAAAATAAATAAAAAGCAACAGAAGAATCCTTTTATTTTCAAAGTTTTATCAATCCATGAAAGAAAGAGCAGCACATTTCTGCAAAGCCCAAATAACTGTACAGCTCATTCTGCAGACAGATTTTTCTCACCAGAAAGGAAGTGCCTGTTAAAGAGAATAACCAGGAAGGGAACCAGGACCAACTGTGGCCAGCATGGTTCTGCTGGCTGGTATCTTTAGCAACACATTATACCCTTCACCCATCTCTTTCCAGTGTTGCTCTCCTTAAAATCACTGAACACCCAGGTGAGGATCCATCTAACCACAAAGGACATTTTATCATCCCTGTTGGATCCTACGTCAGGGCTGCCCTGTGTATTTTGATTTTCATTCAGAGGTCCCACGGAAGAAATGGAGCAAAACTCTCCACCGGGGAATGCTGACTGGCTGTAGGAGCAGCCACCTTTCCATTACACTGTGGAGGAAATCAGGTTGTCTTCCAGTGAGTTCCAGTCACCAAATGATTTTATTGTTACAATACGATGAAGCAATTTTTATTTTGTGCACTTCATGGTGCTCAAAATGTTAGTTTTCACAGTATAGAATGGATGTGACAGCATTTGTCATGGAAGCACTCAGCAGAGTATGTTGCAACTTCATTTAGTTGTGCTGTTTTATGAAGTTCTGCAGTAAATTGTGCCAGCAAATTATGTTGTATTAGTTTCTTTCCGGTGATTAACTAATCATTTGCATAATAAATAGCAGCTAACTACAAGAAAGAGATTTATTTGTCACAGAGTTAGAAGAATGTCAAACTTTTCCCATTTCATGTAAAAAGGCAGAGGAAAAAATACTTCTAAAATGACTTTGCAACATGTGCTTTATTTTAAGCCATTGCTGAATCAAAACTACATAGTATACCCTTTTAACATACCCTACCCACTCAATGATCTTTTTTTCTCAATATTTTTTTTAACATGGAATGAAACCTACACTGCAATTGTAAATTTTCATGCTATGATGTTCTCTAATGAACCATTTGTGTCACTATTAATAGTAATTTAAGAAAAAGGCCATTTTTCAAGCTCATATGTATGTCTACATTTGGGAACTTAAAAAAAAAACAAACCCATCTCGGATGTAAAAATGTGACTTGGAATATGTAAACATTTTCATATACCTGAAACACTGGAAGAAGAATATCAGCTAACAGCAAAATAATGGTTGCCTTAAATCATCGAAATGGGAAAAAGCATGTTCATGGGGAGCAGAGAGAAGCACACACTATTCAGTCTTTAGAGGGTTATAAGAAATGAAGTAGCTCCTTAGGTCATTGAATTCACTTTCTTTTCTCATCTAATGGAAAGCAGTAACTTTGAAGAGAATGGCCCAGCAGAACACCCCAATAATTCACCATAATTATTCTAGCCATTAGTTAACCTTGACGAAGTGTCAAGTTTCAGTTGCTTTTTTTTTTCCTGAGAAAAGTCATTGATATTTGGTGGAAGTGTCTTCTGTGACTGTACAAATAAAATAAGGCATTTAAAGAGATTGTTACTTGGTTTTTTTTTGCTAACAGAGGCTTGTCCACAGTGCCCTTTGTACATCAAAACCTCTGATTTTCTACAAATGGGTATGGCTAGAATGTCTTCAGTTCCCACTGCGGCCCTGGGTCTTGGGTGTCCTGAAGGCTAGTCAGCATCCCATTGCTGTAGCTTGAAAGTCAGCAATGTACAACAGCATATTGCACAATCCAATCTGTATGGCTCCAGAAAGGGCTAAGAAGGTACACTGGAGTCATCTGTGGGTTCACTCCTTCCTTTTCTTTTTAAGTCGTAATGATAGTCTGGAAAATTAAATTAACCAGACAAAGATGGAAACTTCTTGTTGATTAAATTACAAAGCAGTCCCCCGATTGTAGAGGAGTGGCACATTAAAAACAACAGATCATCCAACCTTCTTCACTGTTGATCCTTAATTTGAAAGGCAGCACGGATCCCTAAGGCCATAGCTTCCAAGACTCCTTCAGTGAAAAATCATTGCTACCCAACTATAAAAGGCTTAGCTCTTAAGAGAATATTGTGCTTTTTTTTTTTTTTCCTTTAAAATTCAGATGAAATCAACTTGATTCGCAGTGTGACACCAAAAAGATCAATTAGTTTTTTCCCTAGTCCACTTGATCATTGTCTCTGGTGAGCGATACAGGAATATTAGTTTGGCATACAGGTCTTCTTCTAGTTCCAGTTCTCCAGTCTCTCGCACTAAGAAAATGTCAGTACACAACTTCAAGATTCTGTCTACATTGGGTAGCTCCTCAAACATGATGGAGTGAGAGATCCCACTGAAAAATTCACGGACGAACTTCCCTATCACCAGGACAACTGAGGCATATAGTCCCATGATGCTGAAAAGAAAGAAAGAAAGAGTTCAAATCACGCCTTGAAAAAGGGTCAGCCAAGTGTGAGGGAGTTCCTCTACAGGGCTAAGTGTAGTCTGTCAGCTGAGTGAACATTAATTTCTAACTAGGATCTTGTTTCTGCAGTGCTGCATGATGAAGAAAAATAAGATCTCTCTTCAAACACCAGAGAAATCTGGGAACATAAACAGCTGAGGCTGCTGACTGAAATGGTTTAAACCCACTCACTGTCTGCTACAGCTTGGACGTCACAATGGGAAATCTGACAACTGCTGGCTGTTAAAGGCAAATGATTTGCCATCTATTTTTTTTTAATTGAAGTACATGTAACTAGTGACAGACTAATGTTCACCTGTTGTCCCCTGATAATCCTCCTTTGAGGAGTTCTCCAGAATCACACCAGAAGGGCATACAGAATCATAGAATGGTTTGGGTTGGGAGGGACCTTAAACATCATTTAGTTCCAACCCCCTGCGACAGGCAGGGACACTATCTCCCGGGAAGGCACCATCTCCTGCCTTCCTCTGTCTGTGGAGATGTATTTCATAACTGTTTCACACAAAGGATCCTGGCTACAAGATTGGGAAAGTCACCAAAACTGGGCAGGGTTTGGGTGGAACTTGACCTGTATTTAAGCTATCTTTTGAATGATATTCCTTCAACAGGAAATTGGTGCAAAGCATGTGCTTCTGCCTTTTTTTCCCACTGGAGAGCAGGTAATACCATTCCTTACAAATATGAAACCTTCTACAGATAACATTAATAGACATGAATTTTAAAACCTCTCAAAACCCCTTTTCAAAATGTTGCATTGTTTAAAGACTACAACAACAAAATTAAAATAAACCCCCCAAACCAGCTAAAGTCACCTCTACTTCTATCTTATCTATATAATTTTAATTTTATGTAAATATTCCTTCTTACCCATAACCAGCCAGGAATCCAAGGCTTGGTGGACTGACTTTATCACTGAATATGAAGAGTTCAAGACTCTCTTCAGACGTTTTGTATCTTTTTCCAAGCTGATTCAAAACCCACCACTCACGAACCCCCTCACTGGACACATTTTTGACCAGGGAAACCGTAATGTTTTCCCATCTGCAGTCTATTGAAAAAAATAATTAAAAAACCATTAATATATACACCAAGAATTGCAAAAGTCAAAGTGTTTTGAGTCAGATACTTCAAACATCTGCATGATAAAATGACTGAGCAATGTAAGAGTAAAGGTTCGTTACAATTCTCCTAAAAACCATTTTATGTTACTTCTGTACAAAAATACAGTATCTTGACTTTTGGGGTTTTCCTTCTGCAAATCTCATCTGAATGCACATGAAATAAATAAAATGTTTCAATCACCTACATTTTTGTTTGGACAACTGTTAAATCATTTCAATATTTTCAGGCCAAGGTATCAATGACAGTCAGCATGTCTGCATTTCAGGCCTAAAGAAACACATTTAACCTGGAGGGACAGTGGTCAGCTTCTATAGGTCAAGGTGAAACTACTGCTGTAAACCATTTACGTCTTGGTCTGAAAGATGCTATTCTTTTATATCAAGAAAAGCACACTATCCTATGGATATGTAACTCTGGCACTCCTGATTTCTAGGGAATGCACATTAGCAGTGTACACAGTAAAGCCCTTTTGAAGAACCTCAAATTAAGACTTCTTTAGGACAGGACCTGACTAATGACAGTGAAGCACTTGTAACTTATTGCTACTCACAGAGCTAGGTCCAGCATGAAGAATTATTTTTCCCAATTAATCTAATCATGCTGACTGAATCTTGAACAGCAATGTACTACATCGTACAGTAATGTACTACACAGTACTGCTACTATGCCCAAGTGTCAAATTTAACCTGTTGAGCAAAGGGTTCTTAGATAAATACTTGATCCTGCTTTTCGAACCCACCAGGTTTTTCACCTAGAAAAATGTGTGTATGTGCACATGCGTGCATGTATTCTGTATGTCTATGAGTACCTGTACGCGTTCTGATTTGGCAATAGCACTTTGAAATCCAATGATTTATCTAAACTTGATTCTTTGTAGCCAATAAGGAAGGAATAGCTAAAAAAAAATCATTGTCACTATTTGAGCTGAGGAGTCACGTTTGCGGACATGCAGCACTATTGTCTGTTTGTGGTAAGGTATCAGGGAGATGCAAAGAACTGAAACTTCTCATCACTTCCTCAGAAAACAAGGAAAAGCAGATCCTGAAAGCAGACTTGAAGGAAAGGAGCCGGACTTCTTCCTTAGAGTCCTTACCGTTAAATACAACGCTAAAATACATCCAGATGCATTTTCTGCCTTGTACTGTATTACCTCATCTCTCCCCAAGCTTGCAGGCACCAGGTAGAAACCATTGTAAGTGCATTTCAGCCTGGGGTGCCCTGTAAGAGCTCAGTGAACATGCAAGTGTGAGTGCTGTGTTGCACTTCTTTCAACCACACTCTGTTTTCCATGGTCTGGACACAAACCTGTCAATAGCTGCTTTATGGGTTTTGCCAGAGAATCACTAGGAGCCTTGATGTAGTACGGGTACACTTTCTCTAATGTTCTGGAAAAAATGAGAAAGCAAATATTTCATATTTTTATACCTCTAAAATAGTTTAGAAATACCTAACAGGGCTACACATAGTTCCCAGTAATTCTTGGCTTAAGCTATGATTTTATAGTGTTCAGATGTCACATCTGAAAGTTAGCTGGATTTATTAACTATGTTCTGTCAGTACTTCAGCAGGGAGCTCCATCCATAATGTCGCCATTCACACGCCATGAATCCCACACACCTGGGGCACGTGTGTTTGCAAGGAATGTAGACTTTGTATTTTGTTTCCCTATCTAACAAAGCTGCTTTTATGGTCAGCTATATAAGCAGACCAAAGAAAGGCAACACATCACCAGCAATAAACAAGCTAGAAAAATATGTAGCTAGAAAAATGTGGTGAAAACAGTTACTACTTCAGAATTGCAAGATGTTTCAATAATAACACCTGAAAAGAGTGAGAATTTTTGCCAGAATCTTTAATTGGGAAATATTTTCACAGTTTGTAGGAGGATTTCAAACTTAAAAAGAAAGTTGTTTATAAAAGTTCTTCCATGGAACTAAAAATTAAATCACCTTAAGTGGGAATAAATTACCAGCATCCAGAGAGAGATAAATGTCACCAAAAGCAGAAAATCTGTCCTGGCTTTTTCCTCAAATGACTGAAAAATTCTAGGGAAGGGGAGCTCTTGGGGAAGTCCTGTGACACTTTGCTCCACTGCATACACAAGGCTGAGGAAGAACAAAGGTGGCCAATTTAAAATCCCTCCTGGTCACTCCAGCAGGCCCAAAAGATAGGTAAGAGCTCAGCAGCTAAGTTGTCCCAGCAGCGGTGGTGGCATAAAGCTCCCTGCTGTAGTAGTCAAATGGCTACTAGCTGCCACAACCATTTTTCCTTTGTGACAAAGTAAAAAAAGTTAAATCAACAATATTATTGCAAAGCTGGCAAATGCAGGTATATCTTCTATGTTACTGCTTGCCTCCTGCAAAGGGAGAATTACAAATTAATTACCTCTTCCCACAAAAGAGCAAAACCTACCTTCCTTGGTGCTACATCACCTTAGGAAATACTCCCTTATCCTCACACAGCAGAAAAGTAAAAGAGGAGTAAAATACTTTTTAAACGCAATGATCAGATGTGCAACAGCAGTCTGTTTGGATGTACAAGTGTGCGTGGGTGCAGGAAAATAGCTGTGCACAGAAAAGACAAATCTCATTTCCACCTGTGAACAGATATGAATCTCAGAGTTTTCATTATCCCAGTTGGTCTCAGCTTTAACTTTTCAACTCTTGTGGCCACAAATCAGATCAGGTGGCCTTCAGAGATGATGTGTTGGCTTAGCAGTATTTAGAGACTACTGCTGTAAAGTAATCCCCAGTGAGCAGGCCGAAGAGGAAGAGCCAGATTCCTTTCAAATCTGAAAGGAGGCACCACTGCTGTTAATGCTATAAGGCTATATCCATAGAATAATGTTTGATATTCATATGAAGAGCATGCTCTTTCTGCCTTGCAAATTTCCATTACAGGAAATGATCTGATGTCAGAAACGACTGCAGATGTTACCCTTTACCACAGTGATTTAATACTTCCTTGCCAATCCAATACTATTCAAGAATAACAATGAGAAATACAGTCTGAATGGTTATTTAGAACAAAAAATCATCACTACAACACCCTCAGATCAAGCTGAACTGAACTAACTCCAAGAGTTTAACTGTGAATATACTGTAATAAACGTCTGCTTATGCAATAAATCAAAGAAAAGCAACTAATAGCTTCACCATGTTTGTTGGTGTTGTTCCAGTGTTGATGGTCTTCTCAGGCTGCATTTATCATAGCAAATAAGCTTTTACCTTTAATGTTACTATTATGTGACTTCAATGCTGTTGGCCTCTGTGAATGAGGCTCCAAAGTTATCACAGGGGAACAGATGATACACAAGCTTGACCTCCTTAGGAAATTAGGTTTAAAAGGGGAAGGTTTGCATATAAATAGGCAAAGAAAATAACTTACACCTTTTCCAGTTGCTGTCCAGACATCATTGTAGCAATATCTCTTCTGGTGTTCTCTGGTAGGACAAAAGTAAGTTTATCTGATGCTATTTCGGCTTTGGCACCAAGGGTGAGATTTCTGTTGTAAGTAAAAAGACACATTGTCAACCTACAATGAGAGCATAACGCAAACGCTTGTTTGCTGAACGCTAGAGCTAGTTGTCTAACTAGTCTAACTGCACTGACCCTGGGTATCCCAGTCTTTCCTAAAGCAAGCATCATGCTACCTGTACCTGAGATGGTCTGTTTTCCCATAGAGGATATGTAGCAGCCTTAAAGGTGTATTTTTCTAACTGACTATGCCTCTGTATGTAATATAGGACAGTGGTGACAGATTAATATAATTTTGCTCATTACATCAGTCAAAACAGAATGTGAAAGGAGGCATGTCTGCTCTGACTTTAGGCAACAGGACTGTCAGTGTTACCATACATTGTGTGCCAAGGCAGCTAAGGAACATCATCATCATCATCGAATCATCATAGAATGGTTTGGGTTGTAAGGGATCTTAAAGATCATCCCGTTCCAACCCCCCTGCCATGGGCAGGGACATCTTCCACCAGACCAGGTTGCTCCCAGCCCCATCCAACCTGGCCTTGAACACTGCCAGGGAGGGGGCAGCCACAGCTTCTCTGGGCAACCTGTGCCAATGTCTCACCATCCTCACAACGAAGAGGTTTTTTTAGATTCCTTACATCTAACCTAAATCTACCCTCTCTCAGTTTAAAGCCATTACCCCATGTCCTATCACTACACGCCCTCATAAAAAAGTCCCTCTCCACCTTTCCTGTAGGCCCCCTTTAAGCACTGGAAGGCCACTCTAGGGTCTTCCCAGAGCCTTTTCTTCTCCAGGCTGAACAACCCCAACTCTCTCAGCCTGTCCTCACAGGGAAGGTGCTTCAGCACCCAAT